TTATTTTGTTTTCTTATTAGTCTATGTTTAATTTTGTAGCTTTTTTTTTTATGTTTTAAGTAGTCAATAAGCCTTTGGTTTTCTTAATTCCACGGTTCTTTCCAAAGGTAGTTTTTGTGTGAACCGGGTGATTCTTCCCAACGATGGATGGCGTGATAACCTTCTTAAGGGATTGAGTTTGTTTTTGATGTTCAGGTAAGAATAGTAGTAGTAATGAATAAAAAAGTCAAACATGCTTCACTTGATACCAACACACTTAACTACGTGCTTATGGTTAAAAAAATGTTTTTTGGGAAAGAAGTAGCTCTAATTAGCAACCTTGTGACTCTTGCGTTGACTTAGGCAATCATCGAGTAGTTTAGTCGAGCCATAGTGATTTTCAATCTTGAATATGGTCGTTGTGGGCCCTCGACTCTATCCTTTTTAACATTCTAGTTGCGTGAGAGGTGAGATGATTTTGTTGCAAGTCCAAGTACCCATGCAAATGGTCTAGAACTTGACCCGAATGTGTTTCTAGGCGAAATTTTAAGTTTTGCTTGGCTTGAGAAGTAATTGTAGGCTCTCCTTGACTCATTTGAAATTTTCCATGACCCACCAATGTTGTTATCCCTAGTCAACCCATTTGAGCCTAAAACCTTTCTCATTTGATAACCATATTACAAGCCTTTACCCGTTTTTGAAGTGACTCTCTCTTGGCACCCAAGCTTCCCTTAACACTCTGGAGAAACTATTGGCTAAAACGTAAGTTTGGGAGAGAGACGAGGAGTTTGAAAAAGGTATCAAAGCACAGAAAAAAAGAGAAAAAAAATGATGAAAAGGAAAGGCAAGAAAAAAAAGAGAGAGAGAGAAAAAATGCAAAAAGAAAGTGAATAAGTTGAAGAGTCGAAGGGATTCAAAGAAATAGTAATGATGCAAAGCATGGAGAAAGCAAAGAAAGAGAAAATGAATATCATGACCAAGAAAGAGTGATGCTAACTCTCTCTAGTCCCCCTAAAAAAAAAGAAAATGCCTTAAAGAGTAGGCAAAGCATGAGCTGAAAAGAGAAAATAAGTGCTTAAGGAAAAATGAACCCGTTCTAAGGAAAGATGAGTCCAAAAGCTTTCATTACATTTCGAAAAAGTCTTACATGATTTCTAGCCGAGTGAACTCACATTAGTGGTGATCTACATGAGGGGCAAGCCTATGGTACTTAGAGTCGTACTTGCGACATTCTTTTGAGAGAGATGAGCGAGCTTTTCACAAATCTTTGAATTGAGTGCTACATTCTTAAGTGAGATAGGCTAACAGAGAGTAGAGGAGGAGGAGTTTGAGATCTACAATGACCTACATAAAAGAGCGAGCTTCCTTGATGAATTAAGTTAACTCTTGATGCTCAAGTGTCACATTAGAACTATTTGTGCTTAAAACTTCAATCCATTGCCTTGTTAATAATTCATGATTGTGTGGGTAATTGTTGGTCCCAATTCAGGTGTGATTGATGCATTTTTAATTGGATGGAACGGCTCTTAACTTGGGGAGGTGGGAATTACTTTATTTGCTTGAGGACAAGTAAAAGCTTTCATAACTATAACATATTCGGGCATTTGCTCTAAAGCTTCAACTAATGGCACATTTATAGAGAGACTCTTCATCATATCAATGAACTTCTTGAATTGATTCTCGCCATTTTTCTTGGCAATCCTTTGATGATAGGGAGGAGGTGGCTTAGGCAATGGTGCCTTAGTTTTTTGCACTACCATTTCCGGTATGTCAATCACATGATCCCTAGATGGGTTCACATCCTCTTAAGCCTCTTCCACCGTGTCATCAATATCAATCCGTGCTTCATCATATTCTTGCACCATATTGTTCGGGATCTCTTCTTCTTCTACCACTTGCTCATCATCCACAAGTTGCCTTTGGCTTGAGGTAGGTGCATTCCCATCTTTTTCACTTCTTGTAGTAACGGCTATGGCATGCACCGTAGTGTTCCCACCCTTCGGGTTCACTACCGTATCACTTGGTAGTGCCTCTTTTAGGATGAGAATTTAAAGCTTGAGAGATTTGACCCATTTGCACTTCTAAGTTACGGATTGATGTGTTGTGTGAAGAAAGTTGGGCATCAGAATCGGCATTCTTCTCCATCATTTGGTTGAACATGTTCTCAATACGACCCATTTTATTGTTGGAAGAACTAGGACCATGAGAAGAATAAGAAGGTGGGTTGCTTGGTTGTTGGTACATCTGGGGCCTTTGAAAACCCGACCCCTGATTTCCTTGGTTGTAGTTCCACCCGCCTTGGTTATTGCCTCCCTAATTTCCCTGATTATTATTGTTTTTCTAATTCCCTTGGTTATTGTTTCCACTCCAATTGCCTTGATTATTTCCACTATTCCAATTGCCTTGATTGCTAGAATTCCAATTGCCTTGATTATTTGAAGGTCTCCATTGTTGTTGACTAGGGCCTTGGTTGTTGTTTCTTTGCCCTTGAAAGTTGCTCACATATTAGACCTCTTCATCTTGATCATTGTAAGAATCGCCTTGATCAAACCCACTATCATCTTGCACAAAATTGTCCATTATTTGTTGCACTTGTGGACTTCTTGGTCTTCTTTTGTTTACCATAATATTGACTCCCTTCATAGCATTGACTTGCCTCAGGTTTTGCACTTGTTGAAGTTGAGCCTTTTCCAATTGGTTCATGGTGGTTGTCAACTCGGCTATTGCTTTCCCATAGTCATGTAACTCTTTATGAGAAAGAATCACATTTGGATCACCTTGTGGGACATTGGCTCTAGATTGCCACGCCGATGAAGTATCCGCCATTTCATCCAAAACCTCACACACCTCCGCATAAGGCGTAGTCATGAAGTTCCCACCGGCAAGTTGATTCACTACACATTGGTTGGTGGTATTGATCCCCCGATAGAAAATTTATTGAATCATGTTTTCTGTCATATCATTGTTGGGGCACTCTTTCACCATTGTCCTATATCTTTCCCATATATCGTGTAGTGGTTCATTAGGCTCTTGCTTGAAAGCTAAAATTTCATCCCGAAGAATAGCCATGTGCCCGGGAGAAAAGTACTTTAAATAAATTTCTCCGCAAGTTCATCCCACGTACGAATGGAATGATTTGGCAAACGTTCTAACCAATCTAAAGCTTTCCCCCGTAGAGAGAAGGTAAAAAGCCTTAGCCTTAAAGCATCTTCGGAGATATTTGTTTGTTTGCTTCCCCAACACGTATCAATGAACCCCTTCAAATGTTTATATGCATTTTGACCTGGTGCACCGGTGAAGAACCCCCGTTGCTCGAGCAAAGTGAGAATCACATTGGTTATTTGAAAGTTGCCCGCCCTAATATGGGGTGGGACTATAGTACTTGCATACCCTTCATTTGGCAACACCCGGTGTGTAGCCGCTCGTGGTGGAGTTGGGGGTGGAACAGGCACATTGTCTTGAGGCAGTCGGCCTCGTCTATTGGCCTGAGGTTCAAGAGGGACCTCATCCATTGCATCATCATCGACGTCCACATCCCCCATGGCTATGTTTTCGAACTCGTTGTTTGCCATCAATGCACCTACAATACTCACACGTTAGTAACAAGGAAGAAAAATGAGACAATTCATACGCAAAACCAAATATATAGCTAAATCCGTTATTAGCTCCCCGATAGGGGGCCAAAAATTGATCTCGTCCAAGCCACACCTTTATTTGGGGTTGTGAAACGGTCGGAGAAATAATAGTACCCAACAAGGAGTCGGGGTCGATTTTTCACAGGGAGCTATGAATGGGGCTTAGGAGTATATATTCGAATGAATGAGATTGAATTATCTCAGATTACACTTCCACAAAAGTTGGTTTGTTTTTAAATCTATTTTAAACTAAGAATTAAAACTAGCAAATTATAGTTGTTTGTTTTTCAAAAGGTAAAAAGGCCTAGGGCTATGACCTTCACCTAGGTGTTCACTTAATGGGTTGTAAGCCTTAAAGCTTGTTTTCTTGGTCGGGGTGTATTAAAGCTACCAACACTCAAGTACCCACTCAATACCTCTCGGTCAGAGAGTGATTTTGCCCAATTTGACTTTCTCAAGTCCAAATGGGTATTGAACAAAGCAGTTGATAATAAGCTCAAGTCGGGTTGTACTATCTCTAGGTTCAACCCTTTAATTGTGTTTATCAATCTCTCGATTGACCTAATTGCTTGCTAGCTAAGTTTTCCTAGACTAAGTCTCTCTTTCTCAAGTAGACACCAAGTCAATTAGGCATGAGATAATGTTTGCAACCATTAAATCTTCAAATAAAAGCAAGAACTAGGCTATATAATCAACACCCAATCATAAACAAGCAATAAATCAAACACCCATTAAGTTCACACCCTAGGGTTGGATCACAATCTAAATCTAGCTACTCATGCTTAAATTAGGAGATGAAGAAGAAGTAGAAGTGATAATTAAACCCATATTAAAGATTGAAATGATAAAACTAATATTCAAAAAGCTCAAAATGACAAAAATAACTAAAAGAAGCAAAGTAAACGGTTGTTGATGTCAAAGGGTACATAAATTAACCTAAAAATAAAACAATTCTATTTATATAGTGCTGGAATTTTCGGACAATTAAACGTTTTCGGACTAAAACGAAAGCAAAAATGTGCTAATAAGTAGTCAAAATCCCCACTCATCAGAACCCTATCAAGAAGCTGGATGATAAACCTAGGCTAATTTATTTTCCTCCCACTGTCTAAACATTCCATAAGGACCAGGTCCATGAATGTGGCAATGTGTCTTCTTTCCTTCTCGGGCAGCACAACCTTGTTAACAAATTTAAACAGCACTTTATGGGGTGGCTTCATCTCGCTTTTGTATACAGCCTTGGCCTCTAGCTCTAACTCATTGTTAGCAAACTTCCTTATAATGGCAAGGGAAGTAGGGAGGTTCTCTAGGCTTGTCCATTTGAGCCTTTTGTAATCATTATACCCTTGAGCAGGTACACCCAGAATCTCTCCCAATTCTTTGTCGTCAAAGCTCACAGTCACTCCCTTCACCACACTGGTGATTGCCATTTTTTATCTCACAATTTGCCATGAACTCTACAATATCAGCCCTAGCAAGTCTTCCATCCATCTGAAGGACCATGTCCTTCCAACCCTGTAGTTGGAGTTTTTGCAGCAGCATGACCATGCCTTCCTCCTCCAAATCCCTAAGGAGTCTACCTTTCAAGATAGTTCTTTTTCCAAACTTCTCCTTCTTGTCTTGTTCTTCATCGGTTTCATCTTCTACTTCTTCTTCTTCTTCTTCTTCACTCTCTTCTTCCTCCACTACTTTCACTTTTCTAGATTTCACATCAGACCTGGTTCTTTTCGCCAAGGTAGAAGGTTCTGCAGACTTTGTCTTTGAAGGGGACTTCTTTTTAAAAGTCTTTATTTTCTTTATTTTTGGAGTCGCAACCTCTTCCTCCTCTGCCTTGTTTTCATCACGAAGAACCAGGTCTATCTCTTCAATTTCAACTGCCTCAACAGGCTCAACCACTTTCTTTTTTCCCTTTGTAACAACTTTTCTTTTACTCTCTTCTAGGGCTTTTTCCAGTTCTGCCTCACTCTGCTTCTTCTGACTCCTTGTAGCTCTTCCTCTTGCAGGAGGAGTCTTTACAGGGATAAAAGAGGCAGCCTTTCTTTTTTTGTTTGCCCTAGCAATTCCAGGGATTATAACTCCTGAACTCTTCTTCCATTTAGGATTATAACTATTAGACACTCATTTCAATAGGTTTTCGAGAGGTTCTTGTACTGATGGAACAGGTTCTTGAACATTCTTTCCCAATCTAACCAATCCCTCAGTAGCTTCTCCAGACCCACTTCCCACTTTTTCTCTCAAACTTTCTTCTTCTCCAGCAGATTCCTAACTCCATACTACCATAGCTCCTATTTCTTCAGTCAAACCAACAGGAGTGGGTGAAGATTCAGCCATTCCTTTTCTCATTCCCCTCACATCGCCTTGAGCACCCTCACTTTCTTTTTCTTTTTATTTTTACCACCCAATTTCCTAGACTCAGTTGTTTCAACCCCAACCATAGTTCATACCAAAACAAACATATTTTCCAGATTTTCAGCAACCTTAGAGATAGTCTCAGATGTAATTTTTGGATCATATGTTACCTGCTCTGTTTCAGATGAAATAGTTTCTTCCCCCACAGTTACAGATTTGAAAGAATCTTCAGATTTTTGGGGTTCATCTGCCTGACTTTCCTTCAGTTGCTAATTGTTTATTTTTTATTTATTCTCCTTCAGCGACTATTTTGCGCGCAAGCATCTTGAATCTTCCTTTCATAGAGATAGGTGTGGTTGAGGGTGTGGTTGAAGGAGTGGGTGTGGATTCTTTGGGTGGTGATGAAAGAGTTTTAGAGGTGTTAGTCATTGATGGTTAGAGGATGAGAGAAGATGATTATGTGTGTTTAGAAGATGAGAAAAGATAAAGAGAATTGTTTGGCGGTTATAAATTAAAAGTGAAGAAACGACTAAGGCCAAATCAATTTAAAGAGGGATAATTTGACTGGGTAATAGTAGCTTTTTCAGAAGCTCAGGAGTCTAATCAAACTGGGAGTCAGTTTGAAAAGACGTTGAGGACTCTCCGTAGAATCTAGGCATTTATTGCATTTTGGGTGGGTGAAACTGGTTCATTTCATAACGGATAAGCTAAAGGAGATTAGGATTAAATGGGACTCTCCTTTTTATCATGATCAAAATATAATTATTCCAAAATATGCAAAGTGGAGAGTACGTACCATGTAATCTTGATGAACCGGGTTATTCACCGAGAAATCTCTTATGTAATTCTAAATTTTCCAAGAAAATAAAGATAATATCATTAGAGATTAATGAGACATTTTAGCACATGGCACAAGAGTATATTGATTAAAGTATGAGAGTGAGCAAAATCTAATCTAATTATGTACAAAATTCACAGATTTTCTAACCAATTTTTGAGTTAGAACTGGTTCTTTTAGGTGATATTAATCATCCCTAATTCTAACTTGTTCCTTTCAAAGTGATCTCCACTTAAAGTTTTTGTGAAGATGTCAGCTATTTTCTTGTAAGTGGCACAAAATTCCACAGTAATCAAAGCCTTTTCATAGTTGTCCCTAAAAAAGTGATGCCTAACATCTATGTGCTTAGTTCTTTTATAATGAACCGGGCTCTTGGGCATACTAATTGCACTAGTGTTATCACAAAAGATAGGGACACAACCTACATCAATTCCAAAGTCCATTAATTGATATTTGATCCACAACAATTAAGCACAACTTGAGGCAGCAACAACATACTCAGCTTCAGCAGTAGATAAGGCCATAAAATTTTGCTTTTGGTGGCCCAAGACACAAGACATGATCCAAGAAAGTGTGCCATACCTGAGGTGCTCTTTCTATCCATAAGAAAACCTGCATAATCAGCATATCCCACTAAGTTGAAATTACTACCTTTTGGATACCATAGACAAAGGTTAGTGGTGCCTTTTAGGTATCTCAAGATCCTCTTGGCAACAGTCAAGTGAGACTCCTTTAGATTTGCCTGAAATCTTGCACAAAGGCCTATACTGAAAACAATGTCAGGTCTGCTAGCAGTGAGATATAACAAAGAGCCAATCATTTCCCTATACAACTTCTGATCAATAGATGAACCAGGTTAATCTACATCCAATTTTGTGGCTGTTGCTATAGGAGTGTCAATTTCTTTGGAATCTTCCGTTTAAAACCTTTTAAGCAACTCTTTTACATACTTCTGCTGATGGATCATAGTTCCATTTGAATTTTTTTTAATCTATAAGCCTAAAAGGAAATTAAGCTCACCCATCATACTCATTTCAAATTCACTCCCCATTAGTTTAGCAAATTCATTACTTAGCTTATCAATAGTTGTTCCAAAGATTATATTATCAACATATATCTGAACTACCAAGAGATCTTTACCTTTTTCTTTCAAGAATAAAGTATTGTCAATTTTACCTCTCTTGTAGCCATGCTCAAGTAAGAATTTTGATAATCTTTCATACCATGCTCTTGGAGCCTAGCCTGCTTGATCCCATAAAGTGACTTGTCAACCTTGTACACATGATCAGGATATTCCCTGCTTTCAAATCCCGGAGGTTGCTTGAAAAATACTTCCTCCTTTAGATAGCCATTGAGGAAGGCACTCTTGACATCCATCTGATGGTGAGTGAATTCCATGTAAGCAGCAAAGGCTATAAGGAGTCTAATAGCTTCCAATCTTGCAACTGGAGTAAAAGTTTCATCATAGTCTATGCCCTCCTCTTGACTATATCCTTGAACCACCAATCTTGCCTTGTTTCTTGTAACTGTTTTATCTTCGTCAAGTTTGTTTTTGAATACCCATTTTGTGCCAATTATTGATATGTCCTTGGGTCTTGGTACCATATGCCAAACTTGACTTCTTTCAAATTGGTTGAGTTCATCTTGCATTGCAGTCACCCAGTCTGCATCCTGTAAAGCCTCAACAACATTTTTAGGTTCAATAAGAGATAAAAAAAAAGCATTAAAAGCATAAAGATTCTTCAAGGAACATCTGGTTTTGATTCCATTGGTTGGATCAGTAATTATGTTCTCAATGGGATGAGAACTTTGATACTTATAAGGTTTCACAACCAGCTGGTTTCCCCTAGATGTTCCTTCAATATTTTGTTACGGAGGAATAATTTCATGGACAGGTTCCCTCGAGGTTTGAGGATCAGTTCATCTGTATTCAGTTCCACCTATCAAGTTGCCTTGGGTGAAAGGACATGTTCCATCATATGTTCCTTCCTCTGGTGCAGCTTCAATCTGGGTTGTGGTTTCATTTAAGTTTCTTACCAGCCAAATTGTTTCATCATCATGTTCCTGGCTCTCAGAAAGAATGTTAGTTTCGTCAAACTTACCTAGGGAGTCTTTACCATTATTGTACACAAAGCACTTGCATCCAAATGCCCTAAGATGGGATATATTTGGCTTTGTCCCTTTAAGTAACTCATAGGGAGTCTTCTCAACAAGAGGACTAGTCATGCACTTATTTATCATGTAACATGCAGTATTCACGGCTTCTGCCCAGAAAGTATAGGGTAGTTTACTAGAAAGAAGCATAGTCCTAGCCATTTCTTCCAATGTCCTATTCTTTCTTTCAACTACTCCATTTTGTTGTGGGGTCCTAGGAGCAGAAAAATTATGATTTATGTCATGTTCATCACAAAATTCAACAAATTTAGTATTCTCATATTCAGTACCATGATCGGACCTAATTGATGCAAGTTGATTACCTAGTTGTTTCTGAGTTTTTCTAACAAAAGAAGTGAACATGTCAAATGCTTCATCTTTAGATATTAAAAATTATGTCCAAATAAGCCTAGAGTAATCATCAACAAGCACCATAACATATATCTTACCACATCTGCTCAATGTTCTCATTGGTCCACAAAGATCCATATGGACCAGTTTCATCGTCCTGGTGGTGCTTACCACTTTCTTGCTTTTGAAAGAGGATCTTACGTGCTTCCCCCTTACACAAGCCTCACTAACTTTATCTTCATTGAACATAATGTTAGGTAGTCCTATCACCAAGTCCTTGGAGACTAGTTTGTTGAGTTGACTTAGACTGGCATATCCAAGTCTCTTGTGACAAATGAGGGGATCATTATCCAACACATTTAAGCAAGTGAGTTCATTATTTGAAAGTGTGGACAGATTCACAACATATATGTTGTTCACTCTTTTTCCTTGCAAAACTATCTTGTCAGTGGTAAGATTAATCACAAAGCATTTTGTAGAGGTGAATGCTACCATGTTACCTTTATCACACAATTGTGATACACTTATTAGACTGTACTTCAGTCCATCTATCAAGTAGACATTCTTAGTAGATTGAAAATCAATCTTACCTGCCTTTTCAACCCCAATGATCTCACCTTTCTTCCCATTCCCAAAGGAGACATTACCCCCTTTAAGGTTCTCAAGTGAAAGGAACTGGATCTTGCTTTCTGTCATGTGATTTGAGCAGCCAATATCCATGTACCATATTTGGTTGCCCCCCTTCACTTGGACCTGCAAAAGGAAATCAGGGGTTAGTCCTAGGAACCCAAACTAGTTTGGGTCCCTTTCTATAGGCAAAAGGATGAATCAGATTCTTATTAGCCCAACTTGGTAGCCTATTAATCCCTTGAACAAATTCTTTGTTCTTTTGACTTGCCTTTTCTTTTGCAGTGCATTCACTTTTCTAGTGACCTATTTTACCATAGTGTGTGCAAATCTTATTCTCAAGAAGTGTGAGGTACTTGCTTTTGGGATCCCACTTAGGTGTCGGGCTCCCAAAGCCAAGTTCTCTTCTGTTGCTATTATGGTGTTCTTGTAGCCATGAAAGTGCATCGGAGGATCTGTTCCATTTATAGGTTCTGTCTAGGTCATGCTTTACCTTGCTTAGATCCTCCTTTAGAATTCTTATATGTTCATCTCTCTTGTACAACTCATCCTTCATTTTTCCTACATTTTCTTCTAAAGTGAGTTGTGTGTGATCAACTGTAGTTTTGCCTATTCCTAGTTTCAATTTTAGATTTTCAGATCTAAGTTTTAGGACAGTTGAGTCAAGTGCATGAACCTAGTTCTTCAACACAGTATTTTCACTTACAGTTTCACTAACCCTAAGTTACAAGTTTTTGCACTTGGTCTTCAAAATCACACATTCTTTAGACAACTATTCCTTTTCATCATTTACATCCTCAGATTCATCAATTAGCTCCAGTAGTAACTCAAATAACCTTTCTTTAGACAAAAACTTAATCTTGTCTTTGAGATGAAGGACACTTACCTCAGATTCTCCAATGGCCATAAGTGCTCGTTCATCATCATCATCATCATCTGAGCTTTATCTAAGCTTTATCCCCAAGCAGCGACCATAGCCTTGGATGATCCTTTGTTGTTGCTTTTCTTGGGT